ACTTGAGGTTTCCTTGCTTCCCTCCTCCATTCATTAGAATTATCACTCACTCTCTACTTGCCTTTTGTCCCAGAAGAAGAGATATCCTTGCTTCCCATTAGAGCTAATACCTCTACCTGTGCCCTTGATCCTATTCTCTTTTTCCTTCTCTAGAAACTTGCTCCATCATTCATCCCCCATCTCTCTTTACATCTTCAGCCTCTTCTCTACTGGATCCTTCCCATCTATCTATAAAACATACTCCTGTTCTCCTCAAAAAAAGAAAAACTTCCCCTGGTCCTTTGACCACATCCACCTATAATTCCACTTCTCTCTTCCTCTTTATTTCCAAATTTATTGAAAAGGGTCTCAACATGATATGCCTACTTCTTCACTACTCATTCTCTCCTGAGTCATTTGGTTTCTAGTTTTCATTCAAACCAATTAGCTAAGATTATCAATGTCCTTCTAATCACCAAATTCAATGGCTTTTTTTCTTAGTACTCATCCTCCATAAAGAATTGGGAATGAATGTTACCCAAAAGACAATGGAAAAGCAAATACTGAATGTGAACATGATTCAGCAAATTATAAAGAAATACAAGGGAGAATCCAAGTAAAGTATATGATCATAAATGAGGATGGGGGTGGGTGGGGGGGTGTTGAGAAATGAACTGGACATGTGGCAATAACACAAGTCAAAGGATGGATTGGCTGTTTGCTCTACTGGTATCCTCACAATTTCAAGAGAATTCAAGGCTCTAGCAGTATGTTGAGGGACTGCCTAAAGTAAGTTCATAGGAGGACATGACCAAGAATAGGAGGCGGTAGGCAAGGATAGATGGGTCACAATCTACATCTTTGGAGGGAATAGATGATAGATTCATTTGAGTACTAAGTATCTTCCTTGACTTCTCTTTAGCATTTGACACTGTTGCCCACTCCTTCTTAACAGATACTCTTTCCTCTCTTGACTTAGAGATTCCATATTCACCCTGTTCTCTTCTTACCATTCTAACCACACCTTCCTTCCTACCCATGCCTCTAGGGTGGCATCTCTATTCTTTCTCTCCAGATACTATTCTCATTTAATGATTTCATCAGCTCCCATGTGTTCAATAATCAATTCTATGCAAATAATACCTAGATCTATATATTCAAAATGACCAATAATAAGTTGGTCTTTGGAATTAGATGTCTAGTAGGCATCTCAATCTCAACATATCCAATGCAGAACTCATCATCTTACCTCTAAAACTTGATTTAACTATATTGGCCTCTTTGGTGTTTCTTATATACAACACCCCCTCTCTCATTTCCATGTCTTTTTACCTATGTCTAGAATATTCTGCTTCCTTGCCTCCACCTCCATCCCTGGGTTTCTTTGTAACGTGTGTTAAATGTCACCTTCTGAAGATGGCCTTTCCTCAGTCCTGGGGTGTATGGAGTGATCAAGAAGAACTAGTACCTCTGATGTGAGGACTTGCTAAGCTCTTTTTAGGGCTGTTCATCCCTCTTTGGTGTCCGCCTGGAACTCAATTCTTACCTGTGGCTCCAAGAAGCTATAGCAAAAACAATAGTCACACCAAAGTAAAAAACTATTTTGATAGATTGGATAAACCAGGTTGAGGGTAACTGACAGGCCTCAAATCCATCAGTGAATTGGGGGATGTTTATCCCATGCACCTGAAGACTTCCCTCAGCAGAATGGGCAAATGAGAACAATTTGTTCCAACTGCTATGAAGTTGGCTGAAACAGATGCTGTGGAGCACTTAGAGCCTGGTTAGACATTGAAGACACCAAGGTCATCCATTGCATCCTGGGCCATCATCAGTCATCTTGATTTTTGTCTTGCCACTGGACTTCAATGACTCTGGAAGAGAAAGTGAGGCTGATGACTTTATGCAACTCTGCCTCACTCAAATCCATTTCATTAATAAGTCAAGGCATTACCCTGTGATGTCATTGGTCTCTTCTAAAATGAAGGATGAACAACAGTGCCATCCATTCTAAGATTACTGTCTATCCACTTTGTATATGGATTTTGTATGTACTTAATTATTTATATGGGTCTTATAAGTTTTATAAGGGCTAGACTGTTGAATTTTTTTGTTTTTGTTTTTGTTGTTGCATTTCTTTGTATGCTTAGTACTTAGCAGAGCCAGGCACATAGTAAACAGAAGCACGATTAATTGTAGACCTCTTACTGTGAGTCTTCCCCAAAGGCCTACTTTTGCCCTTCTTATTTCTCTGTCTCTCTGTTTCTTCCTCTCTTTTTCTCTGAGTCTTTGTCTTTCTGTGTCTCTTTCTCTGTGCCTCTGTCTCTTTGTGTGTCTGTCTCTGTGTCTCTGTCTGTCTCTTTCTCTCTCAGCAATGTCATTCACTCCTATGGTTTAAAGTACTATCTTTAAGCAAATAAATTCCAAATCTGTATCTCCAGTCCTGGCTTCTCTTTTGAGCTCCGGTTGCCTATAAGTGACCTTTATCTGGATGTTCCTCCAACACTGAAAAATCAACCAAACCCAAGCTAGTCATGTTTCTCTCACACAGTCTTCTCCTTCTGATTTGTTGAATCTTATCTGTGGCATCACTAGATCCTATGTTCAAAACATTTAGTTTATCTTTGGCCTTTCCCTCTCCCTCTCTTTTTATATCCAGTCAGTTTTTTTTTTTTAAATCCTTGTTTATTCTCTTAGTCTACACATTTCTTCCTCTTTATTCTGAACACAACCATCCAGCACAGGCCATTTTTATCACCCACCTAATAGCCTTCTAACGTCTCTTCCCACTTCCACTTTCTCTTCTCTCTAATCTTTCATGCTACTGTGACAGTTTTCCTTATACATAGACCTATTCATTTCAACCTTATGCTGAAAAATCCTTAGTGGCTAGCTATTGTCTAATAAGTAAAGTTCATATTCTTTTGTTTGACCTTCTAGGCCTTTTATCATTTCTGGCTTATCTTACTTTCCAGTTTTATCCAATATTACTTCCCTTGTTTACTCTATGCCCCAGCCAAACTACCTCACCCCAAAATATGCCGTCTTTTCTAGCTCCACACCTTTGCATATGCTAACCCCTATGTCTGTTATGCCCTCTATCTCCCTCTTTGTTGAATTACTACCCATCCTTAAAAGCCCAATTCAAATGTCACCTCCTCCAGAAGTCTTCTCAGAATAGCCATCAGAAAGGCACTTTGTTTTGCATCTCTCTTGTGAACTAATCATGTAACTTGGCATATTCTACTTTTGTGCCATGCCCCTACTAGACTCTAAACTGCAATGTATGAATGTAAGGACTGTATTGCCTAAACTTTGTATTTCCCCTGGTGCTTAGCTTAGGATAGTACCTTCTCAGTACACAAGAGATACCTAATGAGTATTCCTTGAATAATTGAATAAGTATAAGATTCCATCTATGATAAGAATAGGGGGATGGGAAAATGACAAAACAATAATAGCATGAATACAGAAGCAAATTTCATAGAACTGCTTTCAGACCTCTAGCAATGCAATAGAGAATTTAAAAGAAAAATTGAGATCCTGAGTTTAGTTAAAATGTTATTAAGATAGGGTCAGAGGGGCTGGACTTCAGAGCTGCAGCCCTTGGAATACGGATAGGTAAGTGGGAGGAAAAAACAAAAAACAAAAAACTCACTGTCTGGGTTCGGAGAATGCTAAACATACTGTAGACTACTTGCCACTACTTGTTACCTTAAAAATAGAAGAAAGAGGCCATAAGTTAGTGGGTAGAGGGAGGACTATGATGGTAAAGGCAGCTTTCTTCTTTATCTCATCATGTGCTGCTGGGTAAGTTTTTCATGGGGTTGGTAGAGGTTAAGTTGTTGGAAAGGGCACTTCCAACTGTCTCCTGCATTTTATAACAAAGACCACTGTCAGAGGCAGGGTTCCCAAGCCCCTTCTGACAAACTGAGGCATCTCTGTTTTAGTATTCTGAAGGATAATTCAGATGGAGGAGGGCTGGGTCCTTGGAGAAACAGAGAAACACAAGATATCCTTAGCAAAGTGCCTGGCACATAGTAGGCTCTTAATGGGGAGTGGGGGGAGAGGGGAAGAGAAGAGGGAGGGAATAAGCATTTATTAGAGCTCGTATTATGTGTCAGGAACTGTGCTAAGCACTATACAAATACTGTCTCATTTGATCTTCACAACAACCCTGAGAAGTAGATACTGTTATTATCTTCAATTTACAGTGGAGGAAACGGAGACAAGCAGAGGTTGTGACTTGCCCAGCATCACACAGCTAGAAAGCCTGTTGATTTGACATTGAAAAAGAATCAATTAGAGATGGAGGTCTTTTTTCCTTTTCTGTTGCTGTGTCAGAGGACGGTAGAGCGGGAGAACAAACTAAGTCGTATCTAGAACCATACTTTCATAAGCTGTAAAAACTGACGAATTCAGCCATAGAGAAACACACTGATTCCTTAAGCTGTTTGCTTCCAACGAAGGCTTGCGAGTGTGTGTGTGTGTGTGTGTGTGTGTGTGTGTGTGTGTGTGTGCGCGCGCGCGCGCGAAGCCTCCCCTGCAGCCCATCAGAGCTCAATATGGCTAAATCTTTCCTACTCCACCCCTATCCAAAGCTTCCCCATTATCAAACCCCTCTCCATCCAAATCTGCGTCTAGAAGTCTGTTCCACGGAATGCACACGGAAATTTTTTTTTCCCACGCTGCCTGTTGCCTGACCTTCAACCCTGCACACCTGAGAGAGGCCTGGGGGAATGAAGCGTCCCTAGACCTGCCAGCACAGTGACATGCCAGACTAGCCCCAGTCTTCCACCCGGGCCATTTAAGGGAGAGGCAGCGGCCTTTGCAGCTCGGCTCCGGGGGGCTGCAGGGATCTCGCTTTCACTCCCCCTGCAGAGCCTGAGCAGGGAAGGGGGCGGGGCAGGGAGCCGTTTCGCTCAATGAGGAAAGTGGGTGGGGGACCGAGGCGGTGGCCAGCGGCCAATGGGCGAGGGGGGGCGGGGCGTTGGCGGTGTTGAGGCGGGGCTCGGGCCCCGGTGGTGGCGGCTGGGCCACTGGGCAGAGTCGGGGAGCTGCAGCCTGGTCTGGTCTGGGGTGTCGGGTGGCCCCAGAAGACTAGGAGGAGGAGGAGGCGCCGCTGCTCCTGTAGCTGCTTTCTTTCCCCCGTGGGTAAGTGGGCACGGCGCGGCCCTCGAGGGCGGCGGCAGGTCCGGCCCGAGGTTGCGTCTCCTCGACTGGGAGCGTCCCTTTGGGGGGGACGAGACGGGATGCTGTTTAGAGAGCTCCGAGGTTCTGTCTCCAGGGGTCCCCTCCTGGGGGTGTCCCCCCTTAATGCACCGTGCATGCACACCGCGTACCCGCTCCCGACTGAGCACCGCCTGCACCCTTCGCCTTGGCACCTGCGCCAGCTCGAGGATGGTGCATTGGCCAACCCTGCTGACTGAGCTGAGACTGCGTATTTGCGGGGGGAAGGTGTGCCACGGGGTCTCTGTTACCGCAGGCAGGGAGATTGGGGTGAGGTGGGGTAAGTGTTGATGAGCGAGGTTTTTTTCCGGAGCAGCGGCCGCCAAGATGGGCATGAACACTGCACCTGAACCTGTCTGTGCTCGGAGACCACCTTCAGTCCCCCAAGGGGCTCGAGTACCTAGAGCAGGGGGCGATGGCATTATCACCCATCACCCTTAAGGCTGAAGCGCCTTATTTAAAGAAGCTGTAGCTTCCTTGGAGCAGTTTGACGGATGCAGTCTTGGAAAGTCCAGATGGTGGGGTTCTACATATCCCTTCTTCCTTCTCTTCCTCACCTCCCCCACTCCTCAACCTAACACAGACCCTGTTTCATCCTTCAAATAGGGCCCCAGCCAGGCTTTCCTTCTTGTTGAGCCAGAAAAGGTGGCGGTGTAGACCGGGAGATTACGACAGCCAAAGGCTCCTGAGCTGCAGATTAGGGGTGAGGGTGAGCACAGATTGAAGGGGGTGTGTGGATGGACTGCTAGTGCGTACTCTGGTGTCCCCTGTATGGCCAGCGGCAAGGGACTAGGGATGTTTGGAGTGAGAGAGCTTGAGGGAATTCAGGGTTCCTGTGGGCCCAGCCGCCTGTTCTTGGGGAATTAAATAATTAAAAATCAAATGAAGCTCCATCCCTTTAGGCCTTCTAATCTGTTCTGGGTCTTTCTTCCCATCTTTATGCAAATACAATTCAGTCTTGGTGTAGACATTTCCCTTTATTGCCCCTATCATATGAAATAATTCTGCTCATAAAAATCCTGCGGTAGCTGGTTATAATGGATAAGCAATAAAAACGTTTTCTCCCATTCCAGGCTATATTCCAAAGTTAAAACATAACTGTCAATCAATTAGCAAAAGTTGATTGCGCTTCCTCTAAGAGACAGACGTTAGGTCGAGTTAAATAGCCTAAGGATTTAAGAGCCTAAAGTTCTTCTGAATGACAAAAATGGGTCATTTTGTGTCCTTGTGGCCTTGGGATGAATGGGGATCTTTTGGCCTATTTTGTGAAGGTTCACTTTGTGAAAAGAGACTTTTCACAAGCTTTAATGAATTTGTTCTAGAGCAAACTGTTTTCCCTTCCCACACCAGAATTATTATTCACAGTGTTGATGGGATCGAATTTTATCATATGCAAATCACTAAGTTTTCCTCTGAAGAAGTCTTTGCTTTATCTCAACTTATTGTTTCCACATAAATCTGTGAACAAAATTCAGAGTGTGTGCTACCCAAGAAAATATTTTACAGGGTTTCCAAAACAAGGAGTAAAATTTGAGCATTTCTATGTCATTAAAAAGCTTCTCTCCTATACTGAAAACTGATCATAAAAAAAAAGAGGCTAAGAATTCTGCATCTTCAGTTATATTCTAAGCCTTTAAAATCTGGTCAAAGTACACTATTACATAACTTATGTTTGCATTGCCTCCTATTTTGATTGTCTTTTTGGTATCCACTTCTTGTGGTTACAGGTATTTCAAAATAAGTTACAGCTGATATTCAGTTATTTAACATTTTCCCAGTGCCTAATTTGTCCAAGGCACTGTGCTAAGTGAGCACCATGGGGATGCAAAGAAAAATAACACATGAGCCCTATCTTTAAGGAGCTCCTAAGCTAGTGGAGAAAGAAGATCTGTACACAGATAACTATAATGTGCCGCAGTATGAGAAAGATGCCATAAGAGGAGATCTGGGGAGGCAGAAATCACATCCAGCTGATTGTATGGATGGGGAATAATGAAAGGCTACATAGAATCTCGGATCATGGATCATGGAATACTTGGTATTTGACTAGAGTCTTGAAAGAAGGGCAGGATTTCATCAGGCAGTAATGGGAAGGAATGCCATGAATGCATTAAAGGATATAAATTATATCTGACATGTGGTTTGTTGGTGAGCCACCACTCTGTGACTGCTACCAATGCAATGAATGATGCATCACTTTTGTCTTCTTAAAACCTGTGGATTTTTCTGTGCACATTTCCCAAACATTAAATTACCAAATACTCATTGGAAGCTAGTCTGTGCTATCCAAAGAAATAATACTGATTTCATTTTTGCTACTTCTTTTGTCAAAAGATAAAGACCTCCTTGAATGCTTTGTATATTTTTCCCCTTTTCTTTTTGTTTTCAGGAAGGCTTTACTGCAGTAGCCACATAAGCCACATAGGCGCAGGTTTTCCTACATGCTGTGGCTATGTATTGTCTTCTACTGCCTTAGAGCTGACAACACCCTTCAGTGGAAGAGGCAATTAAAATGGAGAGCATCTTCAGGGCAGAGACTGTGGGACTTAACAATTATACCTAATTATAGCCAATGGTTTTGATGTGTGACACAATGTCATCCCCAAGAGGATCAGACACAGAAGATTTCACTTAGTCTGTTCCAGATAGATTGAAGCATAGGTCTGGAGGGCAGGCAGTATTATTGCATCTTGATATGTTTAACTCGTGCCTTCACTCCCATCAACCTTCATCCCCCAAACCCTGGACATTGTTATATTTATATAGAAAATTATATAAGTATACAATTATAGATAAATTATATAAATGTTATATAAACATATATTTTTATATATTGAAAACCATTGAAAATAAATGATCCTGGACAGCTTTCATTTACCATATTAACTTGAGGTGTTATTGGGGAAACTATATTGTTTTTATAACAGCCCCAGCAAATTCATGATGTAAAATTGGCAAGGCAACACTAGCCACCTGTGTCACCACCAGGGAGTACCACCAATCAGAGGAAACAAGGCCCAGTGAGAAAGCCTGCCTTAAGGAACTCTTTATTGGGACCTCTGAGCATCACCTGAGATGTATTTCTTTATTTAGGGGAAAGGGTTCATTCAGAAGATGATTTAACTAGGAGAGGCAATTAAATTCAGTTTCGATTCTGTTTTATTAGAGGTTCTAACATATTGCAAAGAATGATGCAGATATAAAGATGGAAATTCAAGGAGATACAAAGATGATGATACAAAGATGAAAAATTTAAAAATTCCTGACTGCAAGGAACTTGCATCTCAGGGGGATAAAACATATGCATAGATAAGTAAGTAACAAGTAATTTGAGGAGGGGGAATAGCTCTAATGGGGGGGACAAAGGGAACTTAGAGAAAGTTTGTAGAGGAGGTGGTAAATGAGCTAAGCTTTGAAAGGTATGGTACAATTTTAAGAGACTACTACTATATTTGGAGTCAGGAGACATGGGTTCCAGATCCAACTCTTTTGCTTTTTTTAATTTAAGTGATCTTAAACAAGTTATTCAGTTTTTCTGAGACCAACTTTCCTCACCCATAAAATGAAGAAGTTAGTCTGAGTGATGTCTAAAGTCTCTTCTAGCTTTGACATTCTATGATTATAGAATCAGAAACAATAAAAAGATGTGTATGTATATCTTTAGTCAGAGACTGTGAAAATAGTTTATTCTTGTGATAGTATAGCAGGTTTTTTTTTGTTTTTGACAACCAAAAACAAATCTGTTATTTTAAAAAGAATTGTCCTAAGCATATAAGAAATTGTTCATTTCTAGAGTTATATAACAGGCTAACTGGTTTCTTGGTTTCTATGTAAAATATTTCTGCTTTCTTTCAAATGATTTCACATCCAATCCACTAAACTTTTACTGTACTAGGTACCTAAATTGTGCTAGCTTTTGGGCATACAAAGACAAAAGGAAGAACAATCCTTGCCCTCTAGGAGTTCCATTCTATTCCTATAATAAAATTAATCAAAAGATATCTGAGTGCCTGGTTTCCTTGTTCTTAAGAAGCTGATAATCTAGTTGAGGAGAAAAGAGAAACACATTGAAAAACATTGCAATTCAAGACAGTATGTCCCAGATACTGAGACAGGTACTTGTAATAGGAATTCGGAACAGGGAAAGAACATGGAAATCAATTTCCTTAGATTTTTTTGGAGACAATTGGGGTTAAGTGACATGCCTAGGGTCACACAGCTAGTAAATATCAGAGACCAGACTGAGAGTGGGGTCATTTTGACTCCAGAGCTGGTGCTCTGCCACTGCACCACCTAGTTGCTCCAGTTTCCTTAGATTTTACTGATTATATTACTCATGGGCTCTATCTTAGCTTCTAAAATTGATAACCATGACTGATATCATAAATTATAGACCAATATTTACTTTTTAAATGCTCAGATAGTACCTTTCTTTTGAGCAACAATATGACAAACTTCAATATAATGAATATGGGGGGAAAATAGAAAGGGGGAAGAAAATCTAGTTTTCATATTCTATATATTCAATTCTTGCCTAATGGCCATATAGCCTAAGCCTCTCTTTTTACCATTGGACGTTCCGGGACAAGATGTTACAGTAAATGTTGCTTAAAAAAAAAGACAGTTGGAGAAGGACTGATTCAAATCTTTTTGCAAGCTTCATAGGAAAATGTTAGATGGCCTTTCTTCCATGATTTCTTGTTTTGTTATTTAGGTGCATCTATGATTTCATCAATTTTATTTACTCTCTCCTCCAAATATTCTCACCATATGTGAATGTTATCCATGTTTTCTCTAATACTTCATAAATAATATACCCAATGTACTAGGGGCCTTTCACTCTTTTAATGTCTCTTTATGGACAGTGACTATATCTCATATTTTTTTATGTCTCTTAGTTTACCAGGCATGCTGCTTTGAGTATC